TTCCTCTAGAGAACTTATTGTCATATTGATGATAACTGTAAAATTGTGTCTACTTTGTTAGTCGCTTTGGATAAAAGCGTTTGCTAAATGCATAAACATAAACACATTATTATTTATTATCAGTATATATTTATGGTAAATTGTGTAGCCCTAAAAGAAATAAGGATCATGCACTTTTTAACGCTTTTAAACAGCTGGGATTTTTGATTATGTTGTTTAAAAATTTTTTAAAGCTTTAGAAATATTTTTACCTAATTTGTTGGAGCTCAAGTTCAAATAATGTCTTGGTTTCAATCAGGCTGTAGAATAAATGTCATAAATTAGACCTATTTTCAACACAAATTCTCAGTTAAAATTACTGAATGAAAAATAAACTAAGGCATTTATTTGAATAAATAAATATTGGTCCTTTTTCCTTTAATGAGAACAATACCTTTCAGTGAGTGATGTCAGTTCTTCTTCTTTTTGTCTTAATGAACATCTATAAAGAGTTAAAACATTTATATAAGACATAAATTAGAAAAAAAAAACAATTCACATATAAATGTTTGTGTTCATATAAAAGTATTAAAGTTCATTCTTACTTCATATCAACCAGATCTGCTTCCAGAGAAATCTTCTCAGCAGTGAGGCTGTGGTTAAAATATGAGTTCAGCTGAGATTAAACCAAAAACTATTTAATAATCCAGGTTCTGTCCAAACAAACTAAAACATCAATCTGCTCTGTCTGCTGCAGTTAAAATGATAAAATCTTCTCCAAAGTGTTTCACTCAATCTGAAAATGTCTGTTTTATAAGGAAAAGCTCTGACAGCAGCCAGTTGGTGAAAGTTTAATGATAAAAACAGCTCTTTAGAGAAATAATAAAGGTCATCATTGAAACGTGGCTCCATTACAGCTGATATCTTAACAGTAATGGTTACAGAAGAGAGCTGCTGCGTTATGGGCCCACCCCCACGCTGTGATTGGTCCAGACTGACTGATGCCCCTGTCAGTCAGTCTGGATAGTCAGGCTGGAGGGTCGTGCCTCTGAGCGTTTGCTAATTCAGATGCTTCCTGGTCTGATGTGAAGAAAGAGCTGAGCCACAACAGAAGCTCTCAGTTTACTGCTTGTTCTGAGTCTCTACCCTCAGCTATGGTCATCAAATATTGGTCATGACTAAAAGAAGGAATATCCTGGATACTAGCAGCTAAAAAGAGTTTCCTCTGAAGGTAATTTGGGAGAGGCTCAGAGTAGAACCGTTTCTCCTCCACATAAAGTGGAGTTAGCTGAGGAGGCTGAGAATTTGTCCTGGATTCCCATGGAAAGCTTCCCACAGGAGGTCTTCCAGGTCTTCCAGGTATTTCCCACTGGAAGGAGAAGCAGAGGACGGAACAAAACA